GAAACCCGCGAAGCTGACTATTGCCGGAACTTCGTGGGAAATAATGTAGTCTGACTTCGCAATGCAGATGGCATCCTTCCTGTAGTGCCAACCAGGACAAACCTACAAGATCTTCTCCACAGACTAATTACAGTGCACCCCTCCATACAGTTCACCACAGAAGAGGAGAGAAATGAACAGTTTTCTTTCCTCGATACCGTAATCCATAAGAGACCTGACGGTCTATTTCTCTACCCATAATAGAACTAAAGAAAGCGTGCTCATTGGTTTCTTCCTCCAAGCGATAGAATCTACAGCCAGGCGTTTCTGTAGGAGGAAATGCAACACGTCAGTAACACCTTCCAGCAGCCTCCGTTACCCTCGCACCCTGCTCACACACCTCCGACGCAAGGCAGAAAAGATCATGACTAGATCAAGAGGGGACGCCACACAAAAGACGCACAGAATTATCATCCCCCACTCGAAATGGAAAGAACACCTGAAAGACCTGTTGGGCCGCACAGCGAAGACAGCTACCACTTCTGCTAAGAAGATCGGAGATATCCTAAGAGAGAAGAGGTCAGACCACAGCAGTCCTCTTAGCCAGGTGTACAGCATACCTTGGCTGTAATAAAGTATAGATAGATGAGGCAGGACGAGGCCTCCACGAACAACGAATCGACCAACACCACAGCGCTCTCCTATCTGACAAGACGAGCGCCTTCTTTGTTCACGTCGACACCGACGGCCATCTGCTTAAGTGGTCCCAGGCCTCCATCATGGAAGAAGGCCTGCCCCCACGACAAAGGAAGATGGTAGAAGCGGCGTCCATTTATCTAACTAACAAATACAACGCGAATTGGCCAAGGTCGCTGCATGCCTAATAACATGTAATTAGGCATGTACATGTTATATATATATGTACATGTATATACAACTATGTGTATCTCTTATATGCCCTGATGAAGCAGAAAAGCGAAAAGGCCTCCGGCATGTTAGTGAGTTTTCCTGCACTTTCCTTCGTTTTTCCATTTGCAATTTGATTGATATGAATTCCACACAATGTGTGTTTATATGGCCTGTATGCATGTGTGCCCTGTATGTATGTATGTATGTATGCCCTGTATGTGTGTGTGTATGTATGTATGTATGTATGTATGTATGTATGTATGTATGTATGTATGTATGTATGCCTTGTCTGTATGTATGTATGCCTTGTATGTATCTATGTACGCCCTGAATGCATGTATATATATACACCCTGTCTGTATGCATGTATGCTCTCCATGTATGCATACCCTGTATCTATGTATGAATGCCATGTATATATGTATGCATACATGTTTGCATATCACGTGTATGTATGCATGCATTCATGTATGTACGCATGTATGCATGCATACATGTATGTCTGTATTTGTGTGTATATATGTACGTACGTACGTATGTGCATCAGTATGTATGTGCAATCACTCGTCCTCAGCACACGTGGGGCACCCCCCCCCCCACACACACACATCGAGACTCAACTCCCGCGTCCTCCATCCAATCCATCCATCCATCCCCCCATCCATCCATCCACCCTCTCACCCGCCCACCCGCCCACCCACCCATCCATCCACATCAACCGCCGCCAAGTTTCCTCCACTCACCTCCGCGGATTCACTCTGGGCGACGACCTCCGCGCCACTCGTCCCGGATGCCAAGTTTTCCTGCCCCTTTCTGTCCCTACTCGTCACGGTTATCTTGACCATCTTCCTCCCTCTTTTGTCTTGTTTCCCCCGTCTCACTCCATCTCACTCCGTCTCACTCCTTTGCCCTCATGTTCCGTCGGATTTCTTATTCCTTTATCATGATCTTCGTCTGGCTTCCGCGCTCTCTCTCTCTCCCTCACGAGGTTCTCTGTCGGGTTCTCACTTTCCCTATCGTTCTCTCGTTCCCAAAACTTCGTCGGATTGTTCACTCCCTCGTCTGGCTCTCACTCCCTCGATCCCTTTTTTTTCGCCTGGTACTGACACCCTCTCACTCCCTCATTATGTTTTCCGTCGGGTTCTCACTCTCCCTATCGTTCTCCCTCGTTCCCAAAACTTCGTCGGATTTTTCACCCCCTCGTCTGGCTTTCACTCCCTCAATCTCTTTTCTTCGCCTGGTTCTCACTTCCTCTCACTCCTTTAGTCCCTCTCTTCGCTTGGCTCTCACTCCCTCAATTCCTCTTTTCGCCTGGCTCTCACTCCCTCTCACTCCCTCACTCCCTTTCTTCGCCGGGCTTCCCTCCTCTCCCAAACCCGGGCGGCTTTTGCTCGGCGGGTAGAGCCTAACGCCTCGAGGTGTTTTGCGCGCACTTTCGCAGCGCCCGTTCCGCGCCACGACTCTTTAACATATGGGAGACCTTCCCTCCGTACGGAAATTTATCGCCCGAGGTTACAACGTGAAGGAGATGGATCGTTGCAAAAAAAAAAAAAAAAAAAGAAAAAGAAAAAAGATATAAATAATAATAATAAATAAAAACACTTTATAACGCAGGGACTTTCATCTGCAAGCAAATGTGAAGGTTTATGTGCCCTCTTATCCACTGCTCTCTCGTCGCAACACACAGGGGGAAACTCATACATAAATTCATCTTTGGCTACGGAATAAATCGTGCTTGTGCATATGGCTACACTGAGACGATGCACTGTGCAGCAATCCCGTAAAAAAAAGAAAGTAAAAAAAAACAAAAAAAATAACTACCTAGGAAGGAACTTATGTGTGTGTGTGTGTGTATATATATATATATATATATATATTTATATATATATATATATATATATATATATATATATATATATATATAAAAGAACGAAAGAAAAAAAATATAAGAAGGAACTTGACCCCGGAGAATGAACAGCATGAGAAGCCCCGACACACTAGATTGAAAGTCGGAAGCCCCCAGAGAGAGATGGGCAACTCTCATCCACGAACAGCCTAGCCACATCGCCCGGAAATGGAAAAGGGGTTTTGCATCCTCATTTCGAAAACGAACCAATATGTATCCCCAACGTGTATTTACAACCTTTCCTCTCTCTCTCTCTCTCTCCTCCTTCCCATTTTCCTCCATTCGTCGTACGAGTTTGTGAGTTTTAAAGGAGCTGTGACTGACACGTCCTCATCCTTCTGAATCAAGCTGAGAGGGTCTTGGGAAGGGATTTTCTGCGCTTCTTGTGGATTACATTTAGGTTGAAAACTTTTATATTCTTTTTTATATTTACATCGACAGAGTACGTCTTCGCGTGCCTCCACACAAGCTTTACATTTTCACTTTTTGTTTCGTTTTGTTTGGCATCTAAATTGTCGCTACTGGCTTTCCATAGGTTACGCGAATATATTTCTTCTATTCATTCTTTTTCTCTTCTCTCTCTTTCTCTTTCTCTCTCTCTCTCTTTCTCTTATTCTTCCTCGTCCTTATATCTTCAGTCTTCCTTCTAAAACAAATAAATAACTAAAAACAAAACACGACTTTAATATCACAAGCCTAACAAGATCCCTCCCCCCCTCCCCTCCCTCCCCACCCCAACACTCGATACACACTATTGCCTCTCTCATCCCCCGCCTACACTACGGAGAAAATCCTAATAAAAAAAAAGGAAAGAAAGTCGCTATTCCTTTTATTCAAGAGTCCAATAATCTCTCTCGGTAACCCCACCCTTCACCCTCTCGTCCTCCTCCTTTTCACTGCCGATTAAACTTTAAATTACCTTTAACCCAAGTTCACTGACGCATTACTGATAGCTTCTCCGGGTACTGGCTTCACTTAGTCAGCCACTTGATCCAGGGTTAAGGAGCAGACCGGGTCCGGAGGGCAGGCACTTGGCTTCCCTGTCTTGCTTTTATTCATTCATTCATTCACTTATTCACTTATTGAATTACTCATTTTCTCATGTACTTATTTATCTATTTATCTATCTATCTATTTATATATTTATCTAATTATCTATCTAAGCATCTATCTATCTATTCATTTATTTATCTATCATCCATCTATGTTTACTTATCTATTTATCCATCTATGTTTATTTATCTATTTATGCAATTAGTTATTTTTATCTATTTATAAGTTATTTTTCTACTTTAGGATTTTTTTTTAATCCACGATCCATGATTATTTTTAACTGAAGGCATTCATTTTTGTGCTGTTTTAAGTGACAAGTATATGCTGAAAATAAAGTTCTTAATTTGATAATCATTAATATTATATTACATTATACTAAAATTATATTAAAATGAAGTTCTTGATTTCACGATTACTAATATTATATCAAATTATGCTAACATAATATTAAATTGATGATTAATTAATACCGAAGCGTTAATAATAATGACGTGTTATTTCCTCAAAATTCTGCAGTAAGCCAGTTTTTCATTTCAAATACGCACACACAAAAAAAATCAAAGTATTAATGATATTCTGTAGATTAACGAGTTAGTTTCCTTTAAACACATTCTGTAATAATCCAGGAAATGAGATAATTTTTCATTATTTGAAAAAAAAAAAACTTTTACCGTCAAGGATACATAACCACATGTTTCACATCGCGTTTAACACTTAACAAAATTACAGAAAAAAGGTACGAAGTGAGAATGAATAACACCACACTATAACAAAAAGGCAGAGTTCACATCGTCATCATCATCATCAAAAACCTGATGACGATATGTTATGAAATTACGTTTCTTGCATTGCGAAATCATTCACTCTCTAATTCATTCATTCTCATTCCTCCTTCGCAAACCTAACTACGGTTGTAGCAATGAATATAGCCTTAAAATATTCTAAAATTCACACCACTTACTTTGCATAGTTGATTTATTTTTTATATCCATTAATCCCCATTCCTCATTCACAAACCTGACTACATTTGTCGCAATGAATATAAACCTCAAATCATTCTAAAATTCACGCTACTTATCTCTGAATTCTTGCACTGGAGAATTATTCATCAAATTCACTCTCCTTACCCCCCCCCCCCCATTCATAACCCGGGCTACGTCTTTCGCAACAAAGACACCTTAAATGATTTGCGAATGCACGCTACTTCCCTTCGAGTAATTGCATTTCAGAATCAATCCTCCTTTTTCGATCTTTGCTAATTCCTTATTCACATATTTTCTGATTTCATTCCTTATTTTCTAAACCTTTATAAACCTTTTCTAAAACCTTTAACAAAGTTTGTTTTTTTCCCTTCATATTACAGGCCTTAAAGAATAAAACGAATCCCAAAACGACCTTTAAATATCCCCAAAACAACAACAAAAACAACACCCTTAAATCAACCTAAAAATTGCGTTCCCCTCCCCTCCTCCTCCCCCACTCCTACCGCCACCGCCAACGCCCCTCCCCCAAACGCCCTCAAGAAAAGCCCCAAACGCCCTAAAAAGAAGCCCCAAACGCACCTAAAAAAAAAAAAACGCCCACCTGCGAATTCCTCTGCAGCAGCTCGTGCAGGTCCTCGCTGCCGGTGAGCGACGGACGAGCGTTCCTGGCGCCGGGGAGCTCGAGCTGAGGGTGCAGGTCGTTGAGCTTGGGCGTGGCATGGTTGAGCCGGGAGGGGATGGGCGGCGGGTCGTCGTACAGGTCGTTCTCGGCGCCACAGCAGTCCTCAACCCACGCCCGTGATCCTGAGGAAAAAGGGGGGGAGGGATTGTTAGTACTGTTATCATTATTATTGTAATTATTCCCATTATTTCATTATTACTATTATTATTATTATCATTATTATTATTATTACTATTATTATTATTACTATTATCATTATTGCTATTATTATTCCCATTATTTCATCATTACTATTACCATCATTAATACCATCACTGTGTTCACTATCATTATTATCATCATCGTTATCGTTATGGTTATCATTATTATTATCATCATTATTCTTATTAATGTTGTTAAAGTTATTACTATCATCATTATTCTGATGGACGTGATGCAAATAATGACAAGTACTTAACAATAAGGATGATGACTAAGTATCCTCCTCCTCATCATCATCATCACTCATTGCAACAAAAGCAACAACAAAAAAACACGCTCATTTTAAACCGGACTCACGTCAATACAGGCAACTAAGCGGAAAATAAGAAAGGCATCTAAGACGTTATAAACAATGCTGTTGACGGGCGAATATTAGGCAACAACAAGCAGTTAATGGACGAGTAACAGTTCATCTTTCATCGCATGAGAAAATCCAATATAGAACGGATAAAAAAAAAGCTGTTTGTTAGCCACGGTAGAAAGAGAGATGGGGGGGGAGGGAGAGAGGAGGGGTAGGGGGAGGAAAGGGGGAGAGAGAGAGGGAGGGGGGGAGAGAGAGAGGGAGGGGGGGAGGGAGAGAGGGGGGAGATGGGAGAGAGGAGGGGAAGAGGTGAAGAGGGGGAGAGATAGAGAGAGAGGGGGGGGTGGGGGAGACGGAGAGGGGGATAGAGAGAGGGTGAGAGGGAGAGAGGGAGAGACGAAGAAAAGGAGGCAGGGAGGGGAAGGACAAAAACGAGAGAGAACACGGAAAAAAAGAGAGACAAAAAAATTAGAGAATGAAACAACCCTCAATATTGCCTTTTTGAAAATTAGAAACGTTTCCAATGGCTCCCTACGCACCCCCACCCCCATCAACCCCCCAAAAAAATCAGTTTTATCCAACATCGAGCTCAAAATCATGAACAAAGGCAGTTATTTACTCGCTCGTACGCTTTGAATCGATAATCACTAACAGCAATAAGAAAAAAACAACTGAGGAAACGTCTTAAATAACTTACTTAAAAAGGTCAATAAAGTTCGATGCTTTTTACATAATAATTTGCAACATATAGGGCCTACAAGTCAATCAGGAAAAAAAATAGAGATTGCAACTAATAAAAACAGAAGAAAAAAAGAAAAAAAATGATATACAGAAGACAAAATTTATATAAATAGCAAAAACATGAAAGAAAAAAAGAGGAAGTAAAGTGAATGATAAAAGATAAAACATATCTAATAAACAGAGGAGAAAAAAGTGAAAAGTGATAAAAAAAAATATTAGTATACATATATATATATATATATATATATATATATATATATATATAACTAGAAATAGTAGCAGAAAAAAAAGTGAGAGCGTAAAATTATAAACGAGGAAAACAGAATTAGGAGCAAAGATAATTATGAGTGATGAGTGAAAAGAACAACAAAGAAACAGGAGACAGCAGATACAACAGACGCTGGTTGATAAATCATGAAAGACACACTGATATGCAACAGTGCGCTGATGATACTAAATGCTAAATAAAACTATTATTAATGCTGATGATATCAAATAACAACAAATAATAAAATACGCCAATACTGTAATGCGGTCTAAATCTTACCCCCTCCCCCCGCAAAAAAGAAACAAGAGGGAGGGAGGGGGAGGAAGGGAGGAAGGGAGGGAGGGAGGGGGAGAGAGGAAGAGGGAGAGAGAGAGAGAAAGAGAGAGAGAGAGAGAGAGAAAGAGAGAAAGAGAGAAAGAGAGAGAAAGAGAGAAAGAGAGAAAGAGAGAAAGAGAGAAAGAGAGAAAGAGAGAAAGAGAGAAAGAGAGAAAAGAGAGAAAGAGAGAAAGAGAGAAAGAGAGAAAGAGAGAAAGAGAGAAAAAGAGAAAAAGAGAAAAAGAGAAAAAGAGAAAAAGAGAAAAAGAGAAAAAAGAGAAAAAGAGAAAAAGAGAAAAAGAGAAAAAGAGAAAAAGAGAAAAAGAGAAAAAGAGAAAAAGAGAAAAAAAGAAAGATAGAGAAGAAAGCGAGAAAGAGAATGAAAGAAAAAGAAAGAGACAAACAAAATAAGAAAGAAAGAAAAAGAGAAGAGAAAAAAAAAGAGAAAGATAGATTAGAGAAACGACTTTCCCGCAGATGGAGAGCAATACGAGAGCAAACGCGCCCACAGTCCCAGACAGGATCCTCCAGGACTGCGGTTCGACTAGTAATGAAAAGATAATATTCGCATGAAAAGGCAATATGGCGCAAGGGATATCGAGAATCATGAGAGATATTTTACATTCGATGCCATAACGCCGTAAAATGCGTAAGATGAGAATGATATAATCTGTAACATGAGGGATTTACAAAAGCCACGCGAATTATGGGAATGAGAAGTGATGAAATGGCGCAAGTGGAATGTGAAATGAACGAAATGTACGTTTTATATGAGTTTTTGTAACAAGATGAGTTGGACGGAGATAAAGTCTATGACGACTGGGACGAGATCATCACGGACAAACGTTTAAAAAATTGCATCGTCACAGACAAATAATAACGAAAAACAGTTTTGCCAGAGACAAACGATAATGAAAACAGCATTGCTCCAAATACACAAACACAAAAACAACACAAAACCCACAGACAAATCGGTAATAACAAACAAACATTACCACAAACAAACAAGCACCACCACAAACAAACAACAAGAAGCACCACCACAAACAAACAACAACAAACAAGCACCACCTCAAACAAATAACAACAACAACCGCTTCTCATCACCATAACCAAATCAAGGGCGACCACGCCTCTGGAAGGGGGCGTGGCTCTTAACGCGGACACAAACCCTAGCTTGGTGTCCGAGCGCGTATCCGAGGCGAGGGGAGAGGGAGGGGAGAGGGAGGGTAGAGGGAGGGTAGAGGGAGGGTAGAGGGAGGGTAGAGGGAGGGTAGAGGGAGGGTAGAGGGAGGGGAGAGGGAGGGGAGAGGGAGGGGAGAGGGAGGGTAGAGGGAGGGTAGAGGGAGGGAAGAGGGAGGGAGAAGGGGGAGAGGGAGGGGAGAGGGGGGAGGAGGGGAGAAAAATAAATAAATAAAGCAAAGGAACAACAAACGCCAGTTAAACGACCGAGCCCCTTAAGAACCCTGCCGGAGACGCCGAAGAGGATGTCGCGCTGCAGGGGAAGGGGGGTGGTAGGGAAAGCCACTCCACGTAATGTAGCGAGATTTATGGAGTACGAGTTTTAAAACGCAGGGGGCGGGGGGAGGGGGGTGGAGTACGGACCAATCTCGGCCTTATGCGAGACGGGGATGGGGGGGGGGGGGCTAATAAAAATGATAAGGATGGCACTGTTTTGTCTTATATGATATGATAGTGGTAGGACTGTTTGTGACAAATAAGCTAAGGATAGTTTATAAGTATGGTAAGGATATGATTGTTTATGATAAAACTGATAAGGACAGTACTGTTTATGATAAATATGATAAGGATGGTATTATTAATGATAAATATGATAAAAGGATAGTATTGTTTATGATAAATATGATAAGGATAGTATTGTCTGTCATATAATATAATAAGGATAGTATCGTTTATGATTAAAAAAAAACATAAGGAAAGTATTATTTGTAATCATGAAAATAAATCGCGAATATGGAATATGATAGTATTGTTTATGATAAATATGATAAGGATGGTATTATTAATGATAAATATGATAAGGATGGTATTATTAATGATAAATATGATAAGGATGGCACTGTTTTGTCTTATATGATATGATAGTGGTAGGACTGTTTGTGACAAATAAGCTAAGGATAGTTTATAAGTATGGTAAGGATATGATTGTTATGATAAATATGATAAGGATAGTATTGTTTATGATAAATATGATAAAAGGATAGTATTGTTTATGATAAATATGATAAAAGGATAGTATTGTTTATGATAAATATGATAAGGATGGTATTATTAATGATAAATATGATAAGGATAGTATTGTTTATGATAAATATGATAAAAGGATAGTATTGTTTATGATAAATATGATAAGGATAGTATTGTTTATGATAAATATGATAAAAGGATAGTATTGTTTATGATAAATATGATAAGGATGGTATTATTAATGATAAATATGATAAAAGGATAGTATTGTTTATGATAAATATGATAAGGATAGTATTGTTTATGATAAATATGATAAGGATAGTATTGTTTATGATAAATATGATAAAAGGATAGTATTGTTTATGATAAATATGATAAGGATAGTATTGTTTATGATAAATATGATAAGGATGGTATTATTAATGATAAATATGATAAGGATAGTATTGTTTATGATAAATATGATAAGGATAGTATTGTTTATGATAAATATGATAAGGATAGTATTGTTTATGATAAATATGATAAGGATAGTATTGTTTATGATAAATATGATAAGGATGGTATTATTAATGATAAATATGATAAGGATGGTATTATTAATGATAAATATGATAAAAGGATAGTATTGTTTATGATAAATATGATAAGGATGGTATTATTAATGATAAATATGATAAGGATAGTATTGTTTATGATAAATATGATAAAAGGATAGTATTGTTTATGATAAATATGATAAAAGGATAGTATTGTTTATGATAAATATGAAGTAATAATGATGCGAACATTATTCTTTTCTAAACAGCGATAACGGAAAACAAATGCTCGACGCGGAACGAAAATGTAATCCTGACGGTACTCCCGGACGCCCCATACTGATCTGAGGCACGACTGCGGCAAGAGAAACGTCAGGAAACGTCAGGGAAGTTGGGAGACTAGAGACGTTCGCTGCGGAAGAGGACACAAGGTGGAGAAGCGCCTTATATAAAAACACACAAACACAAACACAGAGAGGGAGGGAG